TATGGAGAAAGCTTCAGTTTGCTGGAGTGATAGGATAATGAAAAAGATCCAAGTATCTTAATTTAGATTTCTCCCCAAAGGTAGTTAGTGATGCTTTTAACTGCTGTGCTCTGTGTCCAAATTCTGTTTCACACTTGGCTTTGCAGAAAGCTTGACAAAAGATGGCAATGATGCTCCATCAACTCAGTTATGCACCTCTAACTAAAGGATGCTAAATCTACAGTAGGCTTCAGAGTCTCGACGTGCTGATCAAAATGTTTGCAATTGTTGGAAAAGTTCAGCTCTACACACCTGGTCTCCTGGGCTAAGGATCCAGGTTTATAAACGCCAACTTGTCGTAGGCTCAGAAGAGGAGAGTAAGGTTTCCCTTGCCAGAGTCCTTGATGTCGTGCTCTTCCCACACATGATGCCCCCTACAGTAGGCAAAGAGACATGGAAAATGTGACTCTCAGAACCTGGAGAAATATTTTCCTAGGTAGGAGCATTTTTCAGAGCCTGAAAATCTATTTTTATGCTGCTTCCCCATCCCATTCCCTTCCAGCCTGTAGAAACCACTACTGCCTGGTTGATATTGCTCCAGAAAACAAACAACAAATGCGCATTTTGTTACTTAATCAATGTCCCTGACCTCTTCCCAGATGAAGAGAGACAATATTACAAGTTGAGCGGAAGCTTGTTTCCCACTGACCTTGGGCTAAATCAAATCAAACCTGATTGTTAATTTTCTTACACAGACCATGGGATAAAAATCAGGACTGCAACCTGACTGTGACCAAAATCTGCAAGTTCAGAATCCTCTCACTGTAATATAAGTGACAACCTCAGAGGTCCAACAACTTCTCACTAGCCTAGACAAACAGCACATCTTAGAAAGCTATCCAGATATAAGCCATTTTTTTACCTGCTGCAGAAAAATATGTTTTTACTAAATGGCATAACAGTTCAGAATATCTGGCAGCCAAACTCAGTGTCCTCTGACTAAATATGGAAAAGGTATATCTCATGGAAATGTAAGTTAAAGCTAGGCATTAGAAGCAAAAAAAAAGGCCATGAAATAAAGCTACAAGGGCCAGCTGATTATGTCTTATAAAAACAAAGTCCAAATGTCCTATCTGAGGCCACTACTCAGACATTTGAAAAGCCACAACTAACAACACAGATCTGAGCTCCCAAATAAGATGGCTATCAGTTCATTCTTATTAACAAAAAAAAAATGCACTCTCTTAATAGATTATGGAAGGAAAAAAATATTCCACTGCCACAAATCACCATATATCTGTATAATTTTAATTACCATCCCTGTATAAAAGCAATATTCTTATTTTAAAACCTGTCGATAGCCAAATTAATATGCAGGAAGGATGAACAGGTGAAAAGGTGTCCTTTCCATTAAAGGAACTTGCCTTCTTTCTAGTGCTAGGAAATTGGAGCTTTACATTTTGTTTTTCCACAGGAGAGAACAAGACCAAGGAAAATGCAGGTTTTAATGAGTACATCAATTAAAAGTTCAGCCCCCATCTGCAGATTATTGAAATTATGGTTGTTATTATTGTAAAGCAGAGGGTAGAACAGGAAATTAAATGATCCAACTTCATTTCTAAGTGCAGGAAACAAAACTTCTCAGCAAGTCAGGGAAAAGGTGATGCAGGAAAAAAGGTGAGGGAGGTGGGAAGTACAGGGAGTATGGGATATTCAAAATGACTAAACACCTAACAACCAATCTGCTGGGAAAGTCAGAACCAGAGTGAAACCCTATTCCGGATCCCTGCCTCTGCCCCACGTCCACACTCACCTCCTGAGTCTCGGGAAGGCTGCACAGCTCCTCTGGCTGAGCATCTGGAAAGGAGATTCAAAGCCAGTCCATAGCACAGCAAAGCACAGCAAGCTCCTCTCTCCATGCAGGAACAGTACTCTCTGCCTGAAAATTCATTGCCTTTCACCACTTCTTTACCCACTAATATTTTGATGACTCACAATTGCACTAATTCCCTGTATCCCAATGGCTGTGAGGGGCTTGGTGCCAGCTTCTCTGAACCCACCCCCCGCCCCCTTGCAGTGTTCAGCTCCACACTGTCAAGAAGCAGCAGTAACTTTACTGCTCTGCTGATGCAGCAGCCAGTATCCCCTACCATTACCGTAATCTCTTGTCACTCCCGTATTGCTCGGAAACAAAGAGCACAAATCTAATGCCAACATGTCTCAGCAAACAGCAGCATTTGTGCCTGGCAAAAACGCAAGATACTGGAAAGTGCTTCTCCCCTTTGTCCCCCACCTCCAAGTTTGAAGATAGTTAGTTGGCAAAAATGTCAGTTACACACAATTTATGGATTGATAATTAACCCTAAAATTAATGGGCAAATATCATCTGAAAATTGCATGAAAATAGTTCCCATGCCACTCACACAGCTCTCCTATAATACAGAAAATGAAATGCCTGCCAGAAAAAAAAATTAGAAAAAAAGCATACAGACACACCTGTCATATAGACACACCTGTTATATTGGAATAGTAGGCAAGGCTAGCATGGCAAACTACCATAGATCCTGCATGCTTTTCTCAGCTGCTCTGCTAAAGTCTATATTGGGTGAACATTGCAAGGTCCTGCTTCTTCAAGATTCTTCCCAGAGGAGCGAGCAACAGTGCTTGGAAATCATTAAAAGCCTGGGGAGCTGAGACAAGAAAGTGTGTCCATATTTAAGCAGAAGTCAGGGAGATTAAACATGACAAGGGTAGGTAATAACCATGTGTTGTTCCATTTCATTTTTGTGCAGAGAGTAGGACAGGTGCCTTATAAATACCAATCCATAAGTAAACAGTAAAATACTAAATGCTGTGACAAATTAGGGTCAACTTAAAAGCTTCACCTTTAAAAGTAATTCCAGTAGGCACAGGATATTGGATTGGATGAGCCACACCAGCATGGTTAGTGTTCCCTCAGTCTCTTACAAGGATGTGAGCAGGGACCACAGTTTCACAGGTCTCAAAAGAGGAGGCAGCACAAGCCACCCAATCACTTGGATGCTAGCTGAGCATCCAGAGTATCACTTAACCCATCCTGTTCACTTCAACAAAATTAAAATCAGAACAGATGGCTGAAAATAGAGCTGGCTGAAAATCTGCCAAATTTTGGTCTGTTTTCAATTCATAAGTCAGTCTGCAAGTGCAAAGGTAGCTCCCTCAGGCAGGGAAGTCTTGTGCAGTGGCAAAAGTCTGTGTCTGGAAGTCAGGCAGCATGGGCTCCAATCCTGACTAGCACTTCTCACATTTCTCCTCTTTGTGACTCTATTATCTGCCTAGGTGAAAGGAGGGGTAATGGGATGCTGTGACTAATTCATTCATGTTTGCAAACTGCTTCAAAAGGTGCTAAGGGAGTGTAAAGAATTATTAACACTCCTCCTGAAATAAAATGCCTTGCTGAACAAATCTACGAGTTTCAATCAGACAGATACAGATGGGGGAAAGAGAGGGGAGATGTATAGCTGTATGGACAAGCAACTGATAGAAACCACCTCACAGCAAAAAAATCACCAGATGATTGTATTTCACTGAATGCACTTTGCAAGAAATCACTGAAATCAACTCACAGCATGTGGAAAATCTCACCTGTCAATCAAACCTTTAGAAAAAGCAGCTTGAACAAAGGGCTAAAAAGGCATTTTTCTTCTTGAGTTTAAAAAAGAGGGTAGAGATTACAATTTTGGCTGCCCAGAATATTGTTGGCTATTTTAATTATTTACAAGAAAATTGAACGTCAAAGCAAGACTAAAAAATAACAACTTGCATCAAAAATAATTTCTGTATACATGTAAGTAGAAGTTGGACAAGACGCAATTGTTCCAGGAGAATCAAGTCATTCTTGCTGGAAAAAAAGGATTGTGCATAAATATTGTTTATACAGAAACTCTAGTTGAAACAATTGCACTACCCCCCATTCATAGTGGTCTACATTTTCAGTTTTTATTTCAAATAAAAATTCTAGGAATTTTTCAGGGTTTATCTTCCAAACATAAAAACTGGGGTGAAATCGGGATAAAAGAAAGAAAATTAAAAAATCAGTTTAAATCAGGGTAAATAATAATACATTCTTGCGGTGGTGAGGGAGGGACTGGAGTAAAGCTGGGACTAGTGGGGGGTGGGGCAGCCCATCAGCCACTCCCAGGGCTGCAGCAAAGCGGAGAGAGCTTTGCTGTCAGTGGCACGGGGAGGGGCGGGGGGGCCGTGTCTCTTGCTGCTATGTGCCCCCCAGGAGGGCTGCGGACTGGGGAGCTGTGCTGAGCTCTTCCCAGGGGGCACCTGCCCCCAGATCTGCACATGGGACAAGAGCAGACTGACGCCTGCCCCAAGTACCAGGAAGAGCCCGGTCGGTGGTGCCACTGCCAGCCCCAGCCAGCAGTGACAACCTGCTCTCGTCCCACACACAGATTCAGGGTCTCACACCCCCCAGGAAGACCTCGGCGCATCTCCCAAAAGTCCCCAGCCTGCAGCCCTCCCAGGGGGCACATAGCAGGAAAAGCATGCCCCTCCGCCCCACCCCATGCCCCGCACCTACTGACAGCTTCCCCTGCTTTGCTCCCTGCTGCAGCCCTGGGAGCAGCTGACAGACTGCGACATGCCTCTTCCCCCTGCTGCAGCAGCCTGCTACCAGCCTGTCCTGGTACTTAGAGGAAGGGGGAGTGGTGTGCAGCTAGACACGGAACAGGGGGAACTCGACCCCACCACTGGCACCAGCCCCTCCTGCCCTGCCCAGGGTCAGAGCTGGGACCCCTGCACCCCCAGGCAGCGGCTCCAGCCCCGCAGAGCCGTGTGGACTGGCCAAGTGCAGTGCTTGCTGCAGGGAGTGGGCCCGGGCTCTCCTGCCTGCCCCGCCCCGACTGGGCTCGCAGCTCCCAGTGCCTGGGGCAGGGCCACAGCCAGAGCCGCTGGGTGCAGCTGGGATCCACCCACCCTGGAAGTGATTTCCGCGGCCCCTCCTGCCCTGCCTGGGGTCAGAGCTGGGAGCCCTATGCCCCCACGCAGTGCTTCCAGCCACCCTTCCCCAACCTCCACATGGCCACCATCACTCCCCTCACCCCCTACTCTGCGTGCAGCTGCCACCACCACCCAGCCCCTCCGATCAGTTTGTAATGATTTTCACTGAAAAATGAGTGTAAATCAGTAAAAACCAAATAACTTCAATAAAAAAAAAAATCCAGTAATCTACCAGTGGAATTCAGTAAAAACTGAAAATGTGGAACATTACCCATTCACTATGATTGTGCTCAAAGACAATCAGTGACACTATTCCTTATATGACACTTTGCTTTGCTATTATTTCCTTCCCTTCTCACATGTTTATTTCAACTACCTGTTTCTTCTTCTAATCTCTGGGGGTGATAATGTCTTTTGGCCAAACAACCATACAATGCCTGATATAAAGTGGTCCTTGAATAATGTCCTTTATGCTCTATCACAATATGACTAATCCCACTACTAATTCAGAAATGCTTTATACTGACAGAAAGGAACAAAGGCACTGAAGCAGTGGCTAAGGTATCTCCCAGAAGTCCAAAATACAAGACAAAGTCGAGCAAAGGAACCCATGTTTGTGACACAATAAAATTTACTCCCCTCAAACAAAAATAACCATAGATTTACATTGGCAGAAAGAAAAACTATACTTTTGCCCTGGATTATTTTTCTACTTTCTGAGACTGTCATACCTGCAGCTAAATAGGTAATCATGATTATCAAATTCATGTTTCCTATACATGATATGCCCTATATAATCATGTCTAACAACAGGCTGCACTTTACTGGACATGAGTTTAGTCAGACTGCACTAAATTAGATATTGCCGGTTTAGACATTAAATTGTCAGTCTTGATTATCCTCAAATCTAATACATTTGTGGAAAACCATGTGAAAAAATTAAGCATCTACTAAAAATGCATGCAGAGTCTGACTCTGATCCATATTTAGCATTCTTAAATGACAGATTGGCACTAACAAAGCCTGGGTTGTCATCTGATGACGCTGCGTTCAACAGAAAACGGAAAACAGTAATGCTTGCATTGGAAAAATCTCATCAGTCACTGGAGACTTGGAAATGTATAAAGAGAAAGAGAAGGCAAAACAAGAAAGCCACAATATTATTTGGGTCCTGAGAGCAGATTCACTATGTGAAAACAATGCTGTTCTTACCTATGGTGGGAAAAAATGGACCCCAGCAGCAATGGTGTCACAAGAGATAGCCCTGTGGTCATATGATGTCTTACACTCACATGTTGAACGGGAACTGACCCGATCTTCAACTCTGACAGGAAGGAGATAAGGACACTGAGTCAGCCATTTCACCCAAGGTCTCAGACAAACAACAATCACAGCACATTGAAATGACAAGCTGAGCCCTGGGACATGACACAACTGGAACTAATGGCTTTAGTGTTGCCTAAAAATAGTAGTGCTTTGATGTCTCAGGGGTGACCTCCATGGCTAAGTACAGACATTCAAAAAGCCCAAGTCTGAACTGAGTCCATCTTTGCAGGTTAGTCTAACCTGTGTGGATGGAACAGACAAGCAAGTGACTAGACATTCACTTTTGATTCTGGAAATGCAGCCACATGCCTGCAGTGGCTCAGGCTAGAAGCTGGGGGGCACTAAAGCAAGCCCTCCCTTCCCTTCTGCAGTGGCCGAAAGGCTGGAGGGAAGCTGAGCTGGGGGGGACATTGCCAGGCCCTGGCAGGTGGCTGAGTATAGTTGGGGAGGGGTTTAAACCCCCACCCCGGCCTGCAGGGGCCCCAGCCTGGGTGTGCCTGGAGGAGGAAGGGGGAAAAGGGGGAAGCAGCCCTTGCCAGGATTTTCCCCAAGCGGTGGGGCATGTGGCCAGGCAGCGCCTCAGGAGAAGGTAGAAGGAAGGGACGGGGATTAAACCCCCCTGCCTCCCCTCTCCCACCGGTTTTCCCCCTCTGCTCACAACTCAGCACATCCCGGGACCCCCCAGAACCGCCCTCCCAGGCAGGGGGCAATCCCTTTGAGCCTTCCCAGCTGCCAAGTTGGGGGTTTCACTTGGGGCAGCCCAGGAGCAAAACTGGCTTATGTGCATTTTGAAACTGGTTTATGTGCACTGAACTTATGTTCTCTCGCAGGTTTAAACCAGTTTCTGATCACTTAAACAAGTTCATGTATAACTTCTGTCCTGAGCCCACATGTACACGATAGCATAGAGAAATTCAGAGACTAACTGAACACTATGAGTGTGTTTCATTAACAGAGGCAGACAAGGTTCCTTGGGTGAATTTGATATCTTTTATTAGACTAACCCAAATAGCTGGAGAATAGTTCATTAACAGAACAGTTAGAAGTATTTTAAGGCAGTCTTGTATTGAATTTGATTGATGCTAGTTGTTTTTTTGTCATGTTTGGCTGGGAAAAGGAAAAGTGGAGACACTGTACCTTCAAGAGGACTGGGCATGAGCTGGCTAGAGCAGGTTATGTTATGCACAGACTTAGGATAGATAGGGCTGATCAGTTAGAACAGAGACACAGAATTGAAGCAGGCTTCTGCCAGAGGACTTGGCTCTGCTTGATTACTGAACAGCATGCATCTATGGCCACCAGTGCTGAACACCTTAGTTAGCAAAAACTATTTTTTCAGTGCAGCCCACAACACTAGAGAGTAAAAAACTTGCCCATGATCACACAGGAAGTTTGCAGTGGAGCAAGGAACCAAATCCAAAATTCTCCTGATTTTGAAGCTAACATCCTTATCTCTGGGCACCCAATCTCATGGGATTTTGACTGAATTTGGTAAAAATAACATGAAAAATTCATATACCTGGCAAGGATCCCCTCTTCTCTGGTGGGGCTTCAGAGCTGAGCTTCAAATCATTTCCAGAATCTGACCCAACTATGAACACTGCCTCAACCATTCATCTATAGATTCACAAAAGGGTTGTGAGCCCTACTGCAAACTTAGCCTGGGTATTGACTATATAGTGACAGCAGAACTAAACCAGCAATGAGGCATTTTCGGTGAACATTACTCACAGAGTTGTGCAAAATTTCCCCAGAGAGGATGCACAGATCTCATTGCCTTTCTAAAGGGGTGAAAACATTATATAAAAGTTATGATGTAAAAGGCAAAGCATATCTGAATTTTCCCAGACATCACTCAGCCTGCAGGGAATTGGGGCAACCATCAAAAAGAAAAGCGCACCTTTCAAGCTCTAACATCAAAAATGTGCAAGGTCCATTACAGACCAGACTGCCACATGGTGTAAATCAGCATAGCTCCATTAACTTCCCTAGATGATGGCCTGGCCCTCTATATACCTTAAAGGCATTATTATGCATCTCACTGCTCCTTCTACAAAGGATCTGATCAGTGTGCATTCTTTGAAGGGGCTTAAGCATTATGCAGAGATATATGGTACTGGTGGAACTGCTAGGACACACGTATAGGAAACAGATGTGATAACACAGATAGCAATGGGCATTAGTACAGCAGCGATCCCAAAGTCCTTTTGCAAACATTATCTCTAAGTCTTACAACAGCCAAGTAAAGTCATGACTATTTTGGGGAGTAATGTTGGCTTTAAAGACCAATGAAATGATGATGAGTTGTGAAAAAAAAATCAATCAACTAGACTCCTGCTCATTATGTCCTGATAAATTTGTATGGAACACTAAATTATTGGGAAAGCTCCTCCAAATTGAAAAAGACACACCTGCCAGGCACACTCTTGTGGATCAGAACAAGCTTTTTTCCTATCTGTGCAAATTAAATGGTAACATCCCCTTTCACATGGCTGGCTAAGGTACTCTCAGTTCACCTGGTGCAGAAAACCAGCATCAAACCTATGCAGCAGGGTCTGCTTTAGGAGCTTCAGTTCGACTTGATTGGTCCACAGATCTTGGGCTTGCCTTGTGAATGGTGTGAAATGTTCCTCTGAACCACTGGCTTCATCCCTCTGGCTGATGAAGGAAGCTGAAATAATCTACCTCTAGACTAGAGGAGCTAAGGAAACTGGAAACAGTGATAGTGGGACCAACATGAGAGCGGCAACGAGTCTTGAAGAAAAAGCTGATTTCCAGCATTTGCTCTCTGTCCAAATACAGGGTACATAGAAATGAATCTCACATCTCCACCCCTTAACTGTACAATTAAAAAGAAATTTAGATTCATGACTACAGTTATCAATGCTGAGCTCAGGAATCATCGCCTTATTTAAGATGAATGTCCTTGTCAGAGGACATGTTTCTGCTTCACTCTTTTTCAGAACCAGACTGCTGCAGCTCTTTCTAGCACCACCTGCTCCTATTCCTCTCCACTCCCCACAAAATGCTAGCAGATGGGTGAATAATGGTTTTTACACATAATTCAAATAACTGAGTGCAGATGAACTGAGGCAGATTCCAGCAGGTTTGCAGAAGGCAGAGGGTCACAGCAAATCTGTGTTCAATTGTTTCTCCCACGTTTCTGTGTGAACCTGGGTAGTCCTTTAAGCTCACTGTACCTCACTTTCCCACCTGGAAAATGGTGGCAATATTATTGTTCTCAAAGATATGCTACACTGAAGTCTAGGGTGACTGCAGCTCACATAAACTGTAATTAGTACCCAAGCTAGCTAGTTTTGACTGCTGCAGCGTGGAGACTAGTACAGCAAGTAAAACCCGCAGGGACCCTGAGATTATACTTAGGTAGGTTTTGCAGCCTGTGCTGAGCTTTATAGCATCACAGTGTCAACAGTAACAGGGCATTCTGGTTTAGAAAGACCTTGGGAATATGAGTTTCAATCACATCTTTGAGTGAAGTCATCTTAACGTCCCACTGTAGGTTTTCCTACCTGCAGGTATAATTGCTTTGGGCCTGGATTCTTGTTTTCACTAAGGACATTTTCCATCCTTCTAAAAGGGTAAAAAAGGTCCTTAAAATAGTCATAAATTGAGCACACATATCCAGTTTAAGACTCCTTAAGCTATCAGGAGTAGTGTCAAGCAACCTTAGTGCAAATTCAGGGCTTTCTGTAAATAGAGCTTTTTTTATTGCAAGGCATGGGGCAGAAATCACAGCTGCAGCTAGAAACAGGATTTTTTTGCAAAATTAACGGAAAAAGGAGCCTTGGTACTGTACAAGAACACTAAACATTTTAACCTTTGGTTAAGATGGAAGCTCTGTGGAATGGCCACCAAGGACGCTTGCTTTAAGGGCGGGGGGGAGAAAAAGTGATAAAAATATTACTTTGAAAAATCAAATGGAACTTTAGCGAAGTTTCAGATCATATATGGCTATGAGGAAAAACCTATCCATGGACAAGCTATATTAAATGTTGTTTACTAAACCTTCCCCCTTCCCATCACCTATTCAGCAAGAACACTTTTTCCCCATTTCACAGAAGAAAAGAACCTAAGTCTCAGACCGACAGCCATGCTAGAGAGAAATTGCAACCCTGGAGGATTTTTTTTTTTAAATCCACCCATCAGCATTGCTAGCGGGCTGGAGTTCTCACACACTAAATATGATCGGTTGCATTGAGAACGTGGACTTGGGAGGATGCTGCTGCCTGTGACCTGCAGCTTGGAACCGCATCATGTACATTTACCACAGACAGTTTTTTTTTTCCTACATGCCTTGTTTGTTTAAATAGTTGTGTTTTGACTCTGTCAGCAAGATGAAGAGATTTGGTTATGATGGATATCGGCAGTCAAATGGAGCTACTCACTCCCCTTGGACAGCTTTAATTTACCAATATGAAAACTAACAGATTGTTTTTTAAATACGTCTCTTTGACTACAGACAAAGGCTACAATTTCCAACACAGCCTGGATCTGAATGCCTGATTCACAGTCATTTGAAGGGAATGAGACATCCAAAAGCTTCAAGGAACTTCAAAAATCTCAGCCTCGAAACTTAGTGTGGCATTTTCCAACATTCCTAAATTCACTTAGGAATAACATCTGACTACAAATCTACGGGACTTGGGTTTCTTAAAAGCCCCACACTAAAAGAATTTACAGCCAGCCCTGAAATTCAACATCCTCCCTAAGTGAGAAAGTTTGAGCCATTCTCCAAACTCAAACCATTTCAAAAGAAAATACAGCATGCTTCCCTCATGGCCACCTTCCAAAAAAGCTAGTTGGTTCAGCAAAATACTCCTTCTTTTGTCAGCATTAGTAAGGCAGTGAGCCACTAATACCAATACCAGGTTGGAGAAGATGCATGTAAAGATGGAGAGCCAGCTAGCAGGCTGGCATAAATTAACATAAACCCATTATTTCAAGTGAGCTATATCAGTTTACACCCGTTAAGGATGTCT